TCACTGAGCCCATCCCCCTGTGTTTGTACCCTGCAGCTGCAACCCCAAACCTGCAATTCCGCACAGCGGATTCTCCGGGCGCACTGAGGGGAAGCTGCTTCCCAATGGGATCTACTCTAATTTAAGCACTTTATCCACTGAGACAGCACAAAGAGTATTTCATTCTTCTTGCTTTACAGCTTAATAGGCTAAAATTAAAATTTACAGCACCATATATAATTCATTCTCCAACAGCAATTCAGAGTCCTGAATGCCAACCAACTAATTATTGGTATTTCAGGCTGAATGCATTCTTGCTAATTGATATGTTCTTGCTCCACATTTAACAACTCCTGTAACTATCAGGAAAAATGGTGCTTTAAACCATAGGTATAAAACTGCTTTCAAATGAATTTCCTGAATCCTAATGAGGTCCCTTACTTTTGTCTGGAGAATTCTGCTGTCTTGCACAGCCAGAGAGACACTACACAGAAACACAGCTCCATGTTCTATTTGCAACAGTCTAGGAACTGGGTAACAGATATATTCTGTCATTATTTCAGTCTTTAATCATAGAATGTTTTTTTTTTTAAAGTGCATCTACAAAAATGCACCACCAAATGAGTGCAAAAGTAGAAAGACATAAAGTTTCTCACTGGAAGGGTCACACACAGGCTTCTGCTTTTTATAGAGCACTCAAAAAAAACCAAATAAACAAACAAACAAACAAAAAAAATCAGCAAAAAAAATCCAACAACCATAAAACCAACCCATAGAAGAATGGATATGGAAAGAACACAAGCAAAGCAATTTTGCTAGGGTTGCTATGATTCAACAAAAAACAAACAACCCAGAACACGAGCAAAAAACCTCCCAAAATAACCACAGCACTCAAGAGAAGACAAGTAATGACAAGCAGGGCCAGAGGTGAAAGTTGTGTGTGGTAGAGGTGTCTAAGAGAAGGAAAAATATGAAATACACATCTTGAATGAGAACTTAAATAATTTTCTTTCCATGAACAGAAAAAGCAATGCATATCAAACTCTCAAATTGCAATGCTGGGGGAAGTGCCTGCACAGAACAAGGCAGAGGGATTGCCAGCAGCTCTCCCTGTGCTCCGTGAATCCCTCCTGCCCCAGCACTGGGGGCACAGCCACTCCTGGTGTGCAGGAGAGATCAGTGTGGGGTCAGGGTCACCCCCTCTCAGGCAGGGACAGGGCCTGCACAGCATCACATCCTCATGGGGTTTTACTTCAGGGCTAAAAACCAACAGCAACGAGAACAGAGCAGGTGCTGGTCATTAACCCTTAGCTCTATAAAACACATTTGGGCTGTAAATATGATCACAGGCAGTGAGCTGTAAATGTGGAAAGCCACAGCAGCCATTAAATGGAGATGTGTTTGCATGAACCATTAGATACACGGCTCTGTTTCATATACATTTATTGACAAAACAGAAACCATGCTTAACTACAATAAAAAACATTTCATTGAATGCTGTTACCAGTGAGAACTTGGTATTTTCACTTAGAATTTAGTATTTGACAGCAAATGTGTGTATATGGTACTTCTTACATACACATCTGTCCTCTGAGGACTTTACTCACAAACAGGTTCTCAAGCTTTTCATTAAAGCAAAGCAATGTGGGACTGGCTGATCCCAACCCAAATGTGCCAGGGTTCCCGAGTTCCTCTTAGAGAACCACAGAGTTTGGAGAGCAACTCTGTGTGAGCAATTCAGTGATGAATGCCACATAATGCTGTGCATTCAGCTCCTTGATTTTCAGTAAAAACAGAAATAGATTGAAGGAGGTGCCCTGAGCTTGAAGCTTTGAACTTAGCATGAAAGATGCTGCCATAAATATGGGTTTGCAAAATAACATTTTCACATTTTGGAAATTAAAAGGCACATTAGGAATTTAATTCTTGAGTGCTGTCACTGATATAAAGAGCTTTTCTCATTCATTCTACTCTGCATGTTCCTACTTCAGAATTACTATGAAATTACAAGATGTTTTACGTTTATAAAGTTTGGTGAAAAGCAATTAAATCTTTTAAGGCCAATAAAACCAGCTTATAAATATTTTTCCACATTATTAAGTGGTTTTAATATCCACACTGGAATACTGTTTGCATTTTTATTAATTTTGTTTTTAAATTACCACTGGAGATCCTTAAAGCAAAATCACAGGGAAGAAACTGTACTATCTTGGTAATATTGTTTTTCATAAACACAAGAAATACAGAAAACAGAAGAACTGCTCCAGCTCTCTCCTTGTAGCTTTTTTTCATCTCTGAAAAGTTAATTTAGTTTCTGTCTGCTCAATCAATCAGCACTGCTGCTACCACCAGGGAAGCCACATTCCACTGAGATTCTTCCACGGTGAGGGAGAATTTAAACTCGTCACTCCTTTGATGAAGTACCAGAATTTACTAGAGAAACGCTGAGAGCACTAATTCAGTTTATGTGTTGCTCCCTCAGACTGTAATACCAACACAAAATATCACTGATTCTGGAAACAATCAATCTATCTTGGAAATAAATCCCACCAGTCACCTTAGCTCCCTCCAGCACAAATTCAGCTGCACTTGAAGCCACTGCAAGAGACTTTCTGGGTTTAGTGGAGATTTTGGAGAAGCCTAAGAAGCAGCAGTGCTTTTTTAGCTGAAGAGCAGGATTGTGATGGTGCTCACAGGGGTCTGAGGATGAGGGAAGAGATGAGGATCTGACCCCATATTTCAGAAGGCTTGATTTGTTATTTTATGATATATATTATATAAAAACTATACTAAAAGAATAGAAGAAATGATTTCATCAGAAGGCTGGCTAAGAATAGAATGAAAAAGAATGATAACAAAGGCTTGTGGCTCAGACAGAGAGTCCGAGCCAGCTGACTGTGATTGGCCATTAATTAGCAACAACCACATGAGACCAATCACAGATGCACCTGTTGCATCCCACAGCAGCAGATAACCATTGTTCACATTTTGTTCCTGAGGCCTCTCAGCTTCTCAGGAGGAAAAATCCTAAGGAAAGGATTTTCAATAAAAGCTGTCTGCAACACAGGATGTCACCAAGAAATGAGATTATTCCAAGCAAACCTACAACAACTGAACCAAGAACTAACTCAGAAGCCTTTGCTTGGACTGGCTGTGGGCAGGAGGCAGCTGAGCTGTACCCACCTAGCAGCTCCCGGGGGGGAACGGCCCTGCTGGCTCCGTTGCATGGAATGTTCGGGTACGGGGCAGAGGAGGAGGAGTTCACCCACAGCTCAGGGGAGGAGTAGTTGAACGATGACTGGGTACTGTGGTCCTGAAGCTCTTTACACTGACCAAGACTGTCTTGAGGAGTGCTTAATTCTTCAGAACAAGCCTGGACTGAACTAGAGGAAATTCTTCTTTGGTACAACGGCCTGCCTGGTCCTCTTGGTTCATACTGTGAACAAAAGGGAAAAAAACCAAACCGTAAAATAGCATTATGCTCTTTTGATTCAAGTGCATGTATCAAACACCATTTTCCCATTCAATAATTTCCCTGAAATGCCTTACCAAAAACCCCTTACTTCTTTGCATTTCCAAAATACTAACACATTTCAAGTTATATGCTGCATACTGCAGTCACTGATCACGTATTTTGATCACACAAAACACAGAATTTTAAAGGAAGTGCAAAGAACATCAACTGGGATTTCTTAATTCTTATCAACCTTTATATCTCACACTCCTCCGTGGGTGTTGGATCACACAGTGAGGAGGAAGATACCCAGCATTTACAGATGAAGCAAAGGAAGCACAGAAGAGCAAGAAAACAAAAATATTCTTACAACGCAGTCAGGAAAAAAATGGCTTTTCCTTTTCCAAAGGATAAATCAGTGACTTGTACACCAGGATCTGGGTAAGCAGGATACATTTATATACTGGATTTTGTACATACAAAACAAATGCTCTGGAGAAGCAAGTGCCCTCAGGAGAAATAATGCAGGGAATTTTATCTGAAACCACAGAAATTACTTGCTTCCATAAACCCTGTAGATCATGCAGATGTAAACGGCAGGAGCTCCATCAATTAACCTGTGGGCTTCAAGAGTTCAGATTTAAGGGCTCTCTAAGCTTTCTCAAGATTCAAAGCAAGTCTCTTGTATTACAGTTTATTTTTAACAATAAATACAGTATTTACACCCATCTGCACTGTCTAACAAGAGCACCAATAACAGAAAAGTCACAGAGGTGAATCAAGACTTGGTAAAGGGGAAAAAAATCCTAATGAAATGTCACAAGAAATTAGCTAAACAAACATTAAATAACTTGCTTGCAGAGTCCAACTATTGTTACTATATCATCTACAAAAAATAGAGAAAACAGTGCATGAAAGGAAACTTCTTATTATGCATCTTATTTCTGTTGCCACAATTAAGGGATCAACACTTGGATATCCTGTCAATCCACTCCCCTAAGGTAATTCTTCAACAACAAAACAAACAAACAAACAATTTCATAAATTACTGCCCAAAGCAACCCAAAAAGTATACATTCATTGAGTTTAAAAGGGCTATTTTGGTAAGCAATCAGGAATTTATCAAAGTTCTGGACACTTGCAAGTACAGAACCACACAGAATAACTCCAGTATTCCCTTTGATGTGCAGTTCAGATCTGGGTTCAGTAAACACATGCAAAAGCTTTCAAGTATCAAGTCAATTAACAGCTTTTTAAGTAGTGATTGAGGAAACAGCTTAGTAAGGACACCAAAAGTCAAGAAATCTGCCCTGACAAATGTCTTGTCTGTCAAAAACACACCTAAAACCCCATTTTGATTTCTTTGTGCATTCAGTCCTACCCACCAGCTGAAGAAGCAGTTTTGGAAAGTTTATAAGCAAGTCTCTGTCTTGTAGCACTTTTACTGCATTTGGCATTTCTGTCACATATTTTGAAAGGAAGAAGAAATAAGAACTAAACCGAATTTACACTAATTACATAAAGGCTCACTCTATTTGTCTTCAAATAGCAAGAACTGTCACAAGCTCTATAGGAATATTTATTGGTTTATTACTGCTGAAAAGCCATTGTTCCTACATCCCGCTGTACTGACAGCATTAACTGTTGTCACAAAGTATTAGATTTTATACAGGGTGCTATGACTTAATGGAGTGAGACAGCAAATTTCTAAATGTCTATAAACTCAAACCTTACTACAGCTCTGGCTGGGCCTGAGGACTCCATTAACCTCTCTGGATCTGTGTAAGACAGAAATTTGTAAAATGCACTGAAATTCAATTTTATTTATTTTATTCAGGCTCATAAACTAAATATTTTCTGTTTTCAGAAGTTGATAAACAAATTAAATATGTATTGTGTGAGACAGCGACGAGCAAGGCTCCCTCCCCAGCCTCTGCAAAAACCTTAACAGAAATGCATCACAGAACAAGCCACTTATGTACAAATATTGGATTACATGCACTCAGTGAGAATATTAATTCTCACATTCCTGGAATGCAAGCTGGCTCCAGGATACTCTGTGATTGCACATCATACACACCTCAGATTCCAGCAGGGATTAAACCCTCCTGCTCAGACGTGACCTGTCCTAGCTGTGTGTGCTGGCTCACCCCTCAGGGACAGAGGCAGCTGTGTGTGGCAGGGTGTGCTGGAGCCAGCCTCAGGCAGCACAGCTGCATGGCTCTGATTTCCAACACACAGCCCTCAAAGTGCATGGGATGGCTTTGTAACAAATCAATGCAGGCAAGGTGGGAGTATGAAATCAGGTTTTGGACCATGCTGGAACAACTCCACAGCTCTGGTCTTGTATGAGAGGGAACCCAAGCACATTCACAGCTCAACACTGAGCCGACTGGCTGGGTGATCCCAGCTGACTGACCTGAGCTTCCACCTGGGCTGTGGCTGATTCTCACTGCAGATAAATGACACACAGACACAGAGCAATGGCTGCATGAAAACCCAGAGTAACATCCCAAAAGCCAAGGCTTTCCATTGAGCAGAGAAAACGTTACACCTACAGCAACAGGAACCCCAGATCTGCTCAGGGAGAACAGCAGAGAGGCAGAGAACGATTCAACCTCACAGAAATTCCCGCTGTGAGCTTTCAATGCGTGAGGGGTTTTGCATTTCTGACCACCTCCCAACACAATTTGATATTACAAGGACAGGACAAGTGCAGGGCAGACAGAACACCCACCTCTTCTAAGCTGTGGAGCGAAGAAGCAGAAACTGCTCGAGATGCGAGTGGATGAAATGGCTCCTGACCGACTGCGTGCTGATGATTCTGGATTTGTATAAAAGGGCTTTGCTGCGACCTGTGGGGCAGTGGAGGTATTCCATAGTGAAAGCCCTGCCCCAGGAGGTGATTCTGCTGCAGGTTAGCATAAGTCCAGGACCCATCAGGTTGCAGGTATTTCAAGGGAGACGGGGTTATGTGTTCGGATGGCATTGAGAAAGGGGGGTTGTACATTTGGGGTAAATGCTGCTGAAATGCTGGGTTAGTGGGCAGTTCAATGTCTCTGCTGTTCTCAGTGAAGGTGGGGAAGTGGTTGGAGTTGCAGGAAGGAGAAGGGAGTGCTGGTGGGCTCCGGGGCTGCACTTGTCTGTATTGCAACAGTCTCGACTGCGGGGGCGGCATTTCGGCGCCGTCCCGGCTCTCGCTGGGATCGCGCTGCGACAGCTCCCGGAGCAGGTCCTGGAATCTGCACCAACACAACAAATGCAGCAGGGAAAGAGGGAAAAAAAAAAAAAGAAGTTTTGCTGAAATCTCGCTCTTTGAGATGCAGAAAACTCAGAGAACAGAACACTGAATTTAAATATTCTCATCTTTGCACTTGCTGACCCTAACTTCAAAGGATGCGACTGAGCAATCAGAAATTAGGCACAAGAGGATTAATTGGATGAAATACCCACCTGAATCATCTCAAAGTTTTAATAACTCTTGAGATTTCCTTTCCAGTCAGAAGAATCAATTTTTTGTTATCTCTTAAGAGACAACTAAAGGTAAGGATTTCCTGCTTTACTACACAAAGTAAAAAGTTCACATAGTTAAAGACAATTTTAACCCCTTTCAAGGCAAAAGCCAGAACAATCAGGGACTCCCCTCACTTTCACAATATATTTCTAAACTTCTTCAAAAGGTCAATTCAATTCAGCACTTCAAAGAGTCAGCTAAGAGGTCATTTAGATGCTTTACCATGGCTATAACAAACCAGATGGAAAAGAAAGCATAGTGGGAGATGACAGTAAACAGAGGCAATTTAAAAATCCAGCCTTTACAATATACATGATTAAAGTTGATGACCACTGGAACCATTTTTCTGTTGATGTTCAACAGCTTCCTTTCTTGCCCCCTAAAGCTCCATCTCAAATACAAGCATATTTTTTAAAATCTGCTTTTAAAGCAAAGGCTTTTTTGCAAAGGAAGAAAAGTTCAGGTTTCATTGGGGAGCAGTGTTTAGGGAGGGGCTGTTTTGTTTCTTTTTAAGCACACAAATCTCAGACTGCTACTTCAAATTGAAGAATTTACAACTTAAATAGGCCTTAACTACACTCAGACACCTCTTTCATAAAAACACAAGGTTGTTACTCTCTATCCATTCCTCATTCCATAAATACAGCACTGAAAAGCTCCATAAAAATATTTTTCCACTACAGCTTTACTACCCAATATACTAACAGAATAAAGCATAACACATAATAAAAGCATAGTTGTAAGTCAGCCTGCCAACTATTTTAACCTTCATAATAACAGCAGCAAAAAGCAATACCTTTAAGTGCCTTGCACTTGATCACAGTGTTACAGATAGGTGCCCACTGCTCAATTTTACACAAGCTCTGATGACTCAGTAAACAAATACCTTGAATATGTTGCCTCTGTTTCATCTTCTGTATTACTGGCAAGTTTCCAGTTTGCCCTAACTTGCTGCTGTTGATGTAATCCAATTGGTTGCTGAGGAAGATGTGGTAGATGAGGATGGTGATGGTGTTGATATGGAATAGTGCCTTGACTGAGATAGGCATTATGTTCATTCCATTGCTGTAACCTGGCTTGTTGTTGCTGCCTTATTGTTTCCAAAGCTACATTTCCATGCATACGATCTATAAAAATAGTTTTAAAAAAAAATTTTATCTAATGCCCCTTTTTAAAGATCTTTATGTCAGAAAAAAAAAAAAAAAAGAAAGAATACTTTTTATACAGTTTATTCCAGGGTCTATTATACACTAACTGCATTGCAGTGCATAACCTGGTTATTTAAATCATATGGAAAATCATATAAACATGAATCTTCTAATAAAGTGCTGAATATTCAAACATGCCTCAAGCAGCAAATTATGCTCAATGACATTACTTATGGAAACTAACCCAACAATGACCCAATTCAGAGCAATATGCCTGAAAAAGGTAAATACCTCCTTCATATTCACTTCAATGTAGTTATAATTGCACACTCTGAATTTAAATAAAGAAAAGTCACCTACCTAAAGTGTCCCCTAAGGGCATTCCTGATGGATTCTCTTCAATGAAGTTGTTCAAGTGGGTTGGCAGAACTGGGTTGTGCTGTGCAATAGGCCTCAAAGGATTATTGACTTCTTGTAACAGAGGTGGGGGGTGTTGCTCTGAAATCACAGCATCTACAGCAGGAGAATGTGGTCGGTGGGGAATGGGATTATTAAAAAAGGACTGGCTGGGGCCTGCCTGGAAAGCAGGGGAAAGCTGCGAAGGTGGTGGAGGCTGCTGATTCAAGTGATTATGCTGCTGAACTACCTGGCTCTGCTGGGGTGGCATTTGGTTGGGCTGTTCAGGCAAGTGATTTTGCTGTTGGTTTAAGAGGTTTTGCTGCTGCTGCTGCTGCTGCAGAGGGTAGGGCTGCCTCGGGATCTGGGAGAGGTGCTGGAAGTGGCGGCTGGGCACCGCGAACTGGGAGTGGGGCGGGGTCAGGTGCAGGTTCAGCTGCCTGGGGGCAGGGTTGTCCTTGCGATGGAATTTAGCACTGGGGTAACCCACACTGGAACGGGACTCTGGGCTTCTCTGCTGAGGGGCTGCTTCTAAATCAACCTGCAAAACGAGAGTGAAAGGCTTTGAGAATCTGTATTTTAAAAATTGAAATAAAGACATTTTGGTTTGACTAAATGAATGACTAAACATAATGATCAAATTCATTAAGAGGGAGTATGAAATAACAAACAAACAAAAATACCCAAATCCATAAAAAATAAACAAACAAACAAAACCAGATACCCAGACAAGGGAAACCCACCTGCTTGGATTCCAGAGGTTTCTTCTCAGGTGTTCGAATTTTATTGATTTCAGGTCCAGCAGTGTTTTCACTTTTACCTAAAAACATTTACAACATTATTTCATTTCCATAGGAAAATTATTTTTTTGGGATTTTTTTTCCCTCAGACACAAGAAAATTAACTTATTAGTAAGGCATTTACAGCACCACAGACATTTAGTATCATCTACCTAAATAACACTTTCCCTTTTATCTCTACACTTTGTTCATTAATAACCACTAAGCAGTTCTCCCAGCTTAATTGCAAATAACATCAGCAGTACTGTGGAAGGGAGATGGAACAATTACACCCTCAACAGCCCTTCCCAGCTCCCATTCCCTCTGAATCTCACAACATCCCAGTTATTCCATTTGTAATGGCAAATCCCATCTGCGGATCCCTCGATTAGGGAGGAAAGGGCAAAGCATGGAAAGGATGGAGGAAGGAAAATCCTTCCCACCATCCCGTTTCAAGCAGAAATGCCCCCCAAAGCAGAGCAGCCTGCAGAGACATGCCCAGCACTGACCATTTCGAGTTTGCTCGTGCTGCTCCTTGTCCTGGTGGGGGAGCTGCTGCTGTCCTATGCTAACGGGGGAGTGGTGGCCCAGGCCGTAGGGGATCGGGGACCCTCGCCCGTGTGCCTGTAACAGGTTCATGTTATATGCCATGGCTGCTTGGTGAGTAATGAGGCGAGGGTCGACTGCAAACCTACCCTGATACCCCGTCCACGGTACCTGTGGGGTAAACAAACGTTAAAACAAAAATTAAAATTAAAAAAAAAAAAAAAGAGAGAGATGTGATCTGTTAAGGTACATTAAATTAAAGGCAGTGATATCAAGCATGCTGGTATTAGGTCAGTGACAAGAGTTTTTCAAGCATTAGATGACCTGACACACTTACACACAACTACAGCTGGTGCTGGGAGGGGAGAGCTCTAAGGGCAGGCAAAACAAGGACACAGATTTTTTGAGGAGAACCTTGGGCAAAAATTTTTCTAAATTTTTTCAAAACCCGTTCTTGTTTCAGTGGTTTCGAAGTTCAGAGAGAAAAGACTGATGGACAAATTATAGTTTAATGAATTTCAGATTAAACCCTTCTCTAGTAAATAGAAATTGTGAAATTCAAGCAAATCCAAAGCCCTTTCTCCTGGTAGCTACAAGATACTGGGCTGTGGCTCAGAGGGGACAAAGACAGGAGCCTCAAAGGTGAGGGGCAGAGCTTGCAGCACCCAGGGCTGGGATTCTGCACCCCAGGACACTCAGTGAGGCTCCCAGGAGCATTGGTGGAACCCAGAGAGTGCCCACAGGGACTCACAGCCCCAAGTGTCTGTGCTACAGGACACTGTACTGTACATGTGTGCTGCAGAGGCAAAGCAAAGTCCAGCTCCTGGAAGCAGCTACAAAGTCAGGATTTTTACAATGGCTTCGAGTTTATTCCTAAAAGGAATGCTAAGGAAGGCAGCTCTGCATCAAATGAGTTCAAACTCGTCCTGGAGGGACTTTATTAAAAGAAGGGAAATCTATGAACAAGAGGAGAGTGCAGGGAGTCATCCCCAACACTGAGGCTGCCACAGCATCCTTTAGTGATGGCAGCAGAAAACCTCCTCCAGCTTTTACCTTGGCTATGGAATTAACTGCATTAAACAAAGACATCATTTTATCTTCCACCAACATAAACACATTTTACTTCAGTCCCTGCTTCTTTCAAGTGTAACAACTTTCATCCAATTCTTTTTTTAAATTACTATTTGCCCTTGAAATGTGCACTCTGAACTTCAGCTTTAGGCTACTATTGCATCTGTACAACCCCAAATCACCTCCAAGTCTCTTTTCAAAAGTAGCAGTCTCATTAGTACCTCAGACTTCCCACTTAATTATTTAAAAATCCATCCTCAGGGAAGGTGAGTTCAAAATACTTGTTTTTATTACATTTCTTTTGATTGGAAACACATAAAAAATATATTAACCTTGGAACAATAAGACAGAGTTTTTAAATTACCTTGGTTTGATATTAATATAATGTGAGCAAGCATGACAAAGGTACAGCTGCTGGCCTTCTCATTGCATTTAAATTTATCCATCAAGTGCAGATTTCTAGTAAGCTTGGAAAAAGGAAAATTCATTGGCCTAGCAAAGCAAACCAATTTACACCTGCCAGCTGATCTAAGACACAAAACTGAACCTACAGCAAGTCCCCTGTTCAGCATCCACAACTCAAATTACAACAGAGGACCCATAATTATTGTAAAAACCAAATTAGCTGTATTCCAACATTTAGCATTATGAATGGAATTAAACACATCTGCATGTGTGGGTTCCACATCCTTTGCACGGTCCTCAGGAGCTGTGTACAACACACACATCTACTCCACAAGCTTCTGCAGCCTTGGTTCTTTCCTTGCATTTTCCTCCTGGAATATGTTGACTGTGAAGGGCAAAAATAAAGCAGAGACTGCTTCTTTAACGTGTGCAAATTTTGGTGGGACAGTTTTATTTGTAATCCAAAATTCCATGCATAAATGTAGCCTAAAAGACCTGCTTAGAGATCTTCATTCTGTTCCCAAATGTCATTAAGGGAAGGGATTGGAGAGGAAACTGGTTCACTATGAGGTTCTGGAAGGGAAAAACATCCCATTATGCTTATTTTTCTTATCACTTCACTTCAGACACCTTGCACTGCAGACATCCAAAACTTGTAATTTAGGCTGTGTGATGCCAATAAAGAGAAACAAACTTGGTGTGAATCACTGAGGTCTCTCCAATGATTAAGAACTGAACCAGGCAAATAATTCAGAGGCAGGTGTCTCAAGTCAGATGAGACAGATTCCACTGGCGTGCCTAAAACACACAAATTACATGAACACGAAATTGCTTTTAGCCTGCCTGGAGTTATTTGGGGGAGCAAAGCTTTCAGGCCTTTATTTTCTGCTTGTTCTCTGCACTGCCACTCCTACAGCCAGCAAAGCCCAGACATTGGCAGTGCTGAAAAAAACCTGCAAAAAATTCACTATCTGATTTTGCCATACATTTACGTGCCCACAACAACTGAGGTGGAGAGGGGGGAGAAACAGAAAATGAATTCTTACAGGCAAAGGCACAGACATGACCATATTTCCTCCATAGACAGCAGGTACATAGAGAATACTTGTCCCAGTGTGTGGATCTATCCTTTGAACAGGACTTGGAGATTTCCCCAGGTTGGGGTGAGGTCCCAGAGGAGGAGGGGGAGGAGTGTATGCTCGGATAGGATTTCCAATTAGAACAGAAGGATTGGGCTGAACTGAAAATAAAGATAAAAATAAAAGATATATACATACCAAAAAAAGAAGATTTATACACAAAAAGAACATGAAGATGACCATTTCTTTGTTTTTTCATCCTAACAGTATCTATCTTGATAAAGTAAGCATGCAACTCTCTAACAGCACAGGTCTGATATACCAACAGAAAGCATTAATTAAATCCTGTATTCCATTTCCAAAATTTGAAGAGGCAGAAAATACAAGTTGAGATACAGAGAAACAGGTAGCTGGTAAGTGCATTAATGAAAGAATGTCCCAAACCAATTAAATATGCTGACAGTCAGGGTGGCTGTAAGCACTGATCAAAAATTAAAATAACCCTCCTTTCTTTAGCAGGGAAGACAAGCTCTAAACTAATGCTTTTCCAAATTAATAACAAAATTATTCAGCTGTTGCATGCTACCTTGCAAAGGTATGATCAGTAATATCTGGATGTATGACAGCACAATTTAACTTCAAAGTGCCTCAGAAAGCAGTGCATGCAAAATGATGTCCAAACCCTTCTAGTGCAAACACCCTGGTACAGGGCTGCACATGATGAATTTCAAACACAGCTGTTTTTTTTAAAGGCCAACAACTGTGTTTGTGTTAAAACTTAAAAATAAGTGCACACAACGCCTATAAATGGTGAGCCTTGGAAATACCAAATGTCCATTTAACAGTCTATGATCTGATTCCCACATGCAAACAACAAGTAAATGGCTTTCAAACAGAGAAGAGACCAGATTCTCAATGTCACACTGCTGCCAGCTCCAGTGGGCTCAGGAATTCCCCAGGAACTGCAGAGGCACTCACCAATTCCATCAGGTGGGAAATGATCATTCTGGTTATGATGATGGACCTTGCCCTTTAAAGGAAAAAAAAAATAATAGTGATCTTTGCCTTCTTACACAAACCAAAGCTTTTTATTTCAAGTGAACATGATAATTAAACATAAAACAGTTTTAAAGGAGTCAGCCCAACAGTTTATTCTTACACATTCAACCATCCAGTTCCACCACCTGCCTATGAATTCACAAAGCTGGACATAAAACACCACTAATTCAATTTAACCAGTGGGTCATTACAGCTCCCTCTGGGAAAGCCCTCTCCAAGGCCTGTTTTCAGCAGATATTCTGAGTTTCTTTTCTCACCATTTTACTTCCCCCTGTCCCACATCTTCCAGGAGCAGCACCACTGTAACCCTCATTACTGCTCTGCCACAGCAGCTTCAGTGGAAGCAAAATCCATTTTCTGCTCCAGGTTCCAGCTCAGGAATGCTGGAGACAAACGAGCTGCCCCAGTTTTACTCAGGTGCTCTCCCTGCCCCATCTCATTTATCAGCTTCTGGGCTGTGACTGCTCCCCAAAAGTGCAATACAGGAGAGGAAAGAACCCCAGTGCTGGGGGAACTGCTCTTCCTTGGTGAAACATCAGAAAAGGATTTTAACAAACCTGAGTTATCCCTTCTACTTTTCTCATGAGTTTGCAGCATCAACTAATTATTTAATATTCATAAACTGTGAGCACTGCCAGCATGCTCTCAAGTCCTTTGCAGCACAGAAATACTTTACTTAATCTGGACCTAAGTACGTTCAGAAATTTAAAATAAATCTAGAAACGCTTTGATGCTGTAAAACTTTTCTTGCCCAGGAGATAAGTCTAGGCAGTTTTCCAGCACTCTGAGCAAATTAGTCAGGCTACAAAGACAGGTTGTTTGACAATGTTGACTCATGCATAAACCAGATTAAAGAACCGGTCTCCAAATTTTCCTCTCATTTGAAAAATGAATTATAGAAAAATAAAATAATAATTGCTTTTCATTGCAGCACTTAAACAAAGGAAGCCTGTTTATTCAGCAGAGAAAGATTCAATCTGAAAACGTGGAGGAGCTGTAGCCTTAATCACTCACAGCCAGCACAGAGCATTTCTGTATCTGTTGCAATGTCAGAGGCAAGCAGCACATGCAGAGGTCTGACAAAGCTCTGCTCTCACCTGTCACCCCTGGATTTTATAGGTGCCATATTTTTCAAACTGAAATACCACATATTTAGATAAGTTTGTAAGAAAATAATGACCTAAGTTTGTAAGAGGAGCTGCCCTGATCAATGGCAGCTTCAGGATCAGATTGGTAAATAAAAGTCAACTGGGGCCACCAGGAAGCTGGCAAAGGGAGTTGCTGCCTTTCCTTTCTCTTTTTCTCCTCACAGTTTTAAAGGCTTTACTATTTCATAACAGTCTCTTATGAAACTCAATTGTTATCATTTCTCAAAGATTTTCACACCAAGGTTCATGTCCCCACCCATCTCCAGGATACCTAAACCCACCCTAGAACTGATGGTGACTGACAACCCTGGAGCACAAATACACTCAGTTTCCTCTAAAAACTGGCTCCACCTTGGCAATATAAAAATCCACATTACATAAAGGCTCTGAGAGGAAGCCCAGACCAAGATTTAGGTGAGTGCAGGTGTTAACAGCCTTGTCATTCCTTCAGTCAGCAAACAGGAGTAGAGGGAGTTCTCCAGAGATTTACCCTGACCTGTGACCCTCCCTGACTGCAGGAAATCTCTGGGGGATGCTGCTCCCTGCTTGAAGAGCCTGAACCCAGACCAGAAGCTGGCAGGCAGCGAGTGGGAGGTAGGGAAGTTGTAAACTCAGAGCTTAATTTGCTCTATGTGAACTACCCCAAGGGAAGCTCTGCATTCTGGAAACTTTCCTTTTCCACATCATCACCCTCAATAAAGGCTGTCCCCATGCAGCTCCAGCCCTCCCTACTGTCCAGTTTTCGGCTGTTTGAAGGGCCTGGAAAGGCCCGGAGTGGCCTTGGGGCAGCCCGCGTTTCAAAGGACGAGAAGAGGCTTCAGTTCTTCTTTCGGTCTCTGTGTTTATTAATTGTTTATCTAAAAGATTTTCTTTCAGCCCGACAGAGCTCTGCTCAGCAGCCAGCCATGAGCACACTGTGCTGCCCTCCGGGCAGTCACCTATCTTTATACCCATGGTTACGTGTACAATATTTATCATTTTTCCCCAATACCTTTCACCCTTATTGCCCAGTGCACTTTCAGTAATAACCAATCCCAAAGTGCCACCATCACCACAGAAGATGGAGGAGAAGAAGGAGAAGGAGAAGGACAGGACACGCCCCAATTCCTCCATCTTACTTCTCTAAACCCCCCTGTACAGAAATCCTAAACCCTGTGTTTCCCTCTCTAATTAACCAATCCCTTCACCATTCACCCCGGTGAAACCCTCCTATCCTCATACAGGTGTCATCTCCCGTGTAGGATCAAAGTCCAGCCACCAGACACTTCTGGAACATTCCAGGACTCCCGAGCCCCCCAAGGGTGCTCTCGGTGACACCTCAGTCCTGAGGTGCTGAGATCCCACACCCTCCCTGCCATGCCTGGCCACAGAACAGGGGACAAGGCACTCACAGCTCCAAGCTGCCTGCTGGCCTCTCAGACACCACTCAAACATTTCCCCTTCTTTAAAATCTAAACAGCAAAGAGGTTTTTAATGCCCCTACATAAATCCAGGAGCAATTCTGCTGAATAAGAAGTGCTGCTTGTACAAAACCACTTTTCAGCACATGTGAAAAACAAGCCCTGACTTGCACAATGTCCATAAACTCACCACAAAACATGACTGAAAACTGTTCTTTTTTTTTTTTTTTTTGCTACAACATTTTCCTACCAGCACTAGGTTTTAATCCTTCATTTTTAATGTTAAATACTGTGCTTAGGATGTCTAAAATAAGCAAAGCCACCCATCTGCTTTTAAAACTTCAGCAAAGGGAAATGCATCCCTGACCCCAGCTGTATTCTCAGAGTATCTGGTTATTACCTGTGCTGTTACTGCACACACTCACTACCTATCAGTGGCATTCAGAGGGAAGATTTTATTTAGAATTGTGATACAGGTGGTTGAAACACTTCCGATCTTAAGATGAAAATAGAGTGTTGGCAGTTGGAGCAGCACAAGGGCTTAGTTTACCAACAAACTAAAGCAAAATAAACAGAGCTGTGTACTTACAAAACTCTCACTTTCCCCAACACTCACTCCCCTTTTTTTCCTAAATGTACTATACCTGCATTTTCAAGTACTTTTTTTTTTTTTTTTCATTTAGGAAACTAGAAGTATTAATAATGACATTCTATTATTAAGGAAAAGACTGAAGAGCTCATGAAAAATGAGAGTGCAGCAGTGGCTTTTAAAAAGAATTTTGTAATTTCTGGTTTTCTGTAGGCCCAGTGTTTTGACACATGACTAGAAGCTTTAGAAATCTGGTGTTTGTTTCAGAAAGTAATGCATGCATCTTGATGAAGAAACCAAATGTTCTCCCTTACAAGCTCTCTTTAGGGAAGGACTGCCAAAGGGAAGGCTTTCCTCTTTGTATTAGAAAAACCTGTCGTAAAAATTTCATTTCAATGATACAGCCTGGAACAAAAATGCAAAGCTATGGGAAATATGTGCATTTCCTCCTTCCTGTACACTGAGTCCATCACAAAGCTGACAACCTGCATTTCAGTTCTATCTCTAAACACAATTTAATTAAATTACAACCCAAATGATTTTGATATAAACTACGAAGAATTATTAAAACAGAATTCATTACTAATATATCACCCCCCAAGAAAGCTCTAAAATTCAGAGTTGTTCTTTATCATCCTAAGGAAGCTATGTATTTTCATCACTTCTTCACCTGCTTTTATAAAAGAAGCTGATGAAATTACCACTCAGAGGTAATTTTATCTTTCTGTCCTCTTGATGCTAATGAAATCTGGTCTTCTGAAGGACATTATCACTGAGCTAATCTATGCAATAAACCAGTTTACAACATATTTTTAATTACATCAAAAATTATCTTACATAACTTAAGTCCTTGAATTTTAAATGTGATATTTAGACCAAACCAAATCCCTTTTGGCTATTATTTTGTTGGCTTCTTTTACTCCTTATCACTGTCTGTATCAACCTGTTGTTTCTTGGGGTACAGTCAGAGCACAGCTTGGGACAGGGACTGGCTCTTGCTCACAGGGTTTAATGTGGTTTATCTAAATCCTGAATTTCCAGGGCTGAGGTTCTCCAGGGACACTGCAAAACTGCCAATGAATAGCCCAGAATGAGCCAAGGTGTGCTGCAGGAAGGAAACAAGGCTTGGACAACCCCAAGCTATATTGCTAAAAACTTCACGACAACACAAGCCTAGAGCTGAGGATCCCTCTGGAATTTGCATTCATATCTGATTGCACTGATGCAATTTTAAAACAAACAGCTTGTTCCATAAACCTTTCATGTTATTTGTGCAGATTTCCCCCCAGCTGCAGGCAGAGGGTACCTTTGGAGGCGACTGCTGCTGCTTGCTGGGGTTGGCCGAGTGCTGGTGCCGCAGCGCGCGCGGGATGAACTCGGGGGCCAGCGGGTTCAGCACGTAGGTTTTCTTCAACTCCAGAGCTTCCAGCTGAGCTTTGATCTGCTCAAACGTGATGCCGTGCAGACTTTCGTTCTCGTGGCACAGGGCAATGAACCTTTCCCAGAATTTCCTATGGAAATGATTTTTACAAACAGTGAGGAAAGCTCCAATGGCTGTTATTAAAATGAAAACAGATTGAATGTAACTGTGGGACATTTTTATTGTTTGTGGGTGCTCATTTTACACACCCATCCATCCCCCCTGAGCCTGCTCCCTGCAGCTGAGCCCCCCAGTTGTGTGCACTCCACATGCACACCCAGCTCTGCCCACGGGCACCAGGCCACAGCCCTGGCTGGGCACCACGTTCGGGATCAATGCCATGGACAGCTCAACTCAGAGCTTTTTCCTAGAAAACCAAAACCAGCAAACTCCACGCTTAAAATTCTGGAATGTATGATTTAAGGCATTTATTGAAGCTCAAACAGTGACAGGAATTACAGAGATTCTCAGTCCCAGAAGTTGTCAAGAACATTCTCTGAATTCAGGCAGATCCTTCAGTGTAACAAATACCAAAGCTAACAAAAAACAAATACAAAGGGTTCTGAGATATGCCCTCAGAACCACTCTTGTGAAACACTTCAGAGGCATGAGAAAATTAATATTTTGGGGAGTTTCTAGAGATTCTTTGAGATCCTCTAGTGGAAAACAAACAAAAGTATGAACTTTAGTGCATGTCAGATTTTTCTATAACATACAGAAGTATTTTTGAGCTCGGAAAACAACCATCAGATGATGCATAACTTCTCTATGAAAATTCTGTTTCCAACTTTTTGGAGGATGGAGGGGTTTTTCAAACCATGCAATAAAGAACATTCCTCCCTGTCTTCTGCTTTCTCATGACATATCTTTCTACTGCTTTATAAAAGAAAAGTCATTTTTTGTTAACATCCACAGCAGGATCTACACAAAATTTTACACTTATGATTTTTTTTTAACCTCAAAGGAACTTTTTGGGTGAAGTTACTGAAGCTTAAAAGTTATTTAATAAGGTCTGAAGATGTCACTTTAAAAAAAACCCAACAAACCTGACTGTGCTGTCTCTTTCAAAAATATCAAGGGTAAAGGTGTGCTTGACTATAACTCCTGCTTGTTCACCCTTCAGTAATAAGGTCTGGCCTATCAGCAAACTCTGTTCTTTCCCCAAAACCTGCAAAATGAGGAACTGCAGCAGACTAATTGTACCAGCAGTGTCACATTCTGCTGACTAGCTGACTTTGTGAGAAAGAACAAATGTCTGTCTTGCAAGAATACTGTGCTGCTTGTGATGCTTTTAAGAATTCAGAATTGTTTTCCCTAAAAGCCCATTTCTGTTGTGATTTCATAGAGACAAGAAATGCTCTTTTAAAATTCAGGATGCAAGTTGGCCCTTTTCCTGCATTTTGCTCTAAGGCAAATAGATCTTGCAAGGCTTTAAATGAGAATTAAACCCCAAAATTAAAAGCATCACCGGGATGCTTTAATGATGGAATTCCCTCTGATTAATCAATTCAGTCACCAAACCTACTGCCAAGTAGCCCAAATCCACTGAGACCCATCCACTTTTGCTGAGGATGCTGGGAATGCCCCAAGCAGTCTCTCCACACATGGAACCCTTGCTCTGGGCTGGAAGAACACAGAACAAAACGCTGCTGCCTCTGAGTGTGAGTTTAAAGGGGGTGTCTGCCAAAACAGCTCTGTCTAGTCCAGCTGGAGCACACAGCCATGGAATGATCACCCTGGGCATTCTTCACAAAGCTCTCTACAACTATCATTACAGTCTTGACTCATTTTGACAGGTATTAGAATATTTATAAAATTCAAGTACACTCGAAACTTTTTTTGAGGTCTGTTTTTCTTAACGAAATGTCACTTCTTTCAGACTTCCCTACTCCTGTTGGACTAAAAAAGAACCATCTTCCCAGCAGCCTCCCTGAGCCCCTCCAGCACTATTTTCAAAGAGTGAATGTTCAATTATTCAGTGAAACAAGACAATGGTGTATTAAAGGGAAAGCTCGAGATACATCTTAATAAAGTTCCAGTGCTCCTTGTTTCTTAATTATCTTTCAGTTTTATAATTTGGAGCAGCTCTACATCTATAAACAGCTGCTGGTCTTCAAAATGCAAACCAAATCCTCAACTGCCAGCACTGTAATTTATTACCATGCTGACAGCCTATATTTTTATTTTATTAAGTTTTTGCGCACCCTATTTCAAATACTTTGAAGAAGCACTTGGGAGGCACAGGGGCTCCTTCCCATCAGCTCATTACACAAATACCCCTTGCCCAAAAACCCAACCAGGTAAGGGAAAAGTGAATTAACCCCACAACAATTATTTCTCTGTCAGTAAGATGTTAGAAGCCATTTAAAGCAGATCACTGCATTCATGTACAGACACTCCTGTCATGGCCCCAGCAGGGAAGTGGTGAAATTCAGGTTATATTTCATAAATACAGTAAACAAAGGTTTGAATTGCATTTGGCTTTTTCAACTCTAATCTTTGAAAACCACATCCCTTCTCAACACAGCAGCAGAAGCATTGCTCAGGAAAGTAGAACACAACATAGATATAACAACTAACATGTATTTTTAGCTTTATTTTAATAATGTAGTCAGTGCACTGTTTCCTCTCTTGGAGAATAAGCTGCAGGGTTTATCTCTGATCATCTCAAAATTTCAGCTCTTCCATCCAAAAAAACCCTTTGAAGAACAAGAACTCGGAACCTTTAACATATCATTAAGTGTTTACATATCTCAGCACTTTTCACATTTCTTCATTTAGGTCTATAAAATGTAAATCCACTCAAATCTCAACAAGTTTTTTCCTAATGTCATGAAGACCTACCAAAACATAAATAATATTTTTCAAGTCTTTTACCATCCTACAACTGCCATAATATTCAAATCACAATTTTAAACTCCAAATTATGCATTACCTTTATTTGCATATAAAATTGTAATGAGTATACAAAAAACTCTACAAGAAAGTAAAATCAAACATGTTCAATTGTTAAGTGAAAAATTTGAGCAATTATAAATATATGAAAGGACAGTTTGTCCATGGCCAGCTGTGGGTATCTCACATTTTTCCCTGTTATATATGATGACAACCCTCACTTTCCTAAATCCACCAGTCACAAATAAACACATTTTCCAGTACCCTCAGCCCTGATTAACCAAGGAACATAGAGAAAGTACCTGCATCTTCCAATGGAACATAAAGCAATAGGATCTCCAACCACAGCTACTAAGGATTGTGCTCTTGTAATGGCAGTGTTGAGAAGTTTGTAATTAGACAGAAAACCATAATCCAAGTCTTCTGTGGAATCCTCCAGTAACTGCTCTTTCCTTTTAATTGGAGTTTGCTTATGTTTGCATGTGTGCCGTGTTCGTACTGTGCTGAGGAACAGAACTCTGAACTGTTTTCCTAAAATGAAACAAAAAACATCTCTGAGATAATTGCTGCTATTTCTGCTCCTGCCACGGCCAGACCACTGCCCTTGCCAGCCACATTTCACACCTACATGTTCTGAACTCACAGCTACCCTTCACATCAAGAGCTTTATGCAAGAGTAATAAGATTTAAAAATTTTAAAAGATGCACTATAAATAGCATATTCCATTACAAGAAAATTTCCTCTTTAAAAAACTTACTTTTTTCACCTTGATATTAATCACTCCTGAACTTTCTGAAATGTTAATTATCTTTACAGCATCGCCTATGAGTCAATAACAAATCTTGAATTTATTTATTCTATCTTAAAAATAAATTCTGGACATTCTTGATTCATATTTTTAAATTTCTCAAATGCATTAATACCCACCATGAAAAAACAGAGCAAACCACTCACTGTCACTCAGTTACTTTATCATCTGCCTTTGTTTATTACTGACTAGAAGTGCAACCTAGCAACAGGCTATGCCTACACAAAATCCTTGTTATCAATGTGATTTCAGGAAGAAACACCTAAATTTTTAGACTCCTTGCAGTTTATTCCACAGATGGAAAAGAAATCAGTAAAGATTCCACAGATGGAAAAGATAAT